CTTGGCAAATTAGCGCGCGAGGCATTGTCATTTCCTTTGACGTGCTCTCTTTGATAGAGTTGGCGCATCTTCAGCAGTCGGCTCCTTGATCGCGAAGGAGTTCAGATATGCAGATCTGGTCTCATCGGATGCTGGCGGATCGTTGCAAGGTGCAACAGCAACAGCGGTGGAGAGATCGTCTTCTTGGGTCTTCAGATCTGAAGACCAGCAGATCTTTCTGGAGGAGGAGGCACTCCTGCACTTACCAGGAAAGGCGGATCTGGAGGAGGAGGAGGAGGAGACGTACTCCTTGAACTTTTCGATGCTACTGTTGCACCTTGCAACGATCCGCCAGCATCCGATGAGACCAGATCTGCAGATCTGAACTCCTTCGCGATCAAGGAGCCGACTGCTGAAGATGCGCCAACTCTATCAAAGAGAGCACGTCAAAGGAAACGACAATGCCTCGCGCGCCAATTTGCCAAGGCTTTGGATCAGATGGATGGACTCCATTACCAAGCAGATCTGGAGCTCAGAAAGCGCCAAGTGGCTAATCTGTCGCCACGACCAGCATCAGAATCTTCTTCTCGATCTCCAATTAATGAATGGGTTCGTGTTCAAAGAACCCGATCTACTCTCGAGGAGCGAATCCAGAAGCGCCGCGCCTTACTTGCGCATGCCCGGACCCTTGTGCGAAAAGCACAGGAAATGCAAAAGGAAAAGGTAGTTAAGAGATCGCCGAGATCCAAACAAGTTTGGGTGCCAAAAGCCAAATCAGCGCCTAAGGCAAAAGCAGGCGACGTTGCTCTCCGGCCTTCGTCAACTCCAGACCCTGCTCCCGCACTTCCGGTGAAGCTCTATGACAACGTGGATCTCCCCAAAGCTAGAGTCCCATTGAAGGATCGCATCGGTTCCCTACCCGAGGATCGAGGAAAAGTGCCTGATAAGGAAAGCTTGAGTTCGTTGAAGGAGCTTCGAGCAAACATCCGGACTGGGGGTCGTACGCGACCTCCTAACAAATTAATTTCTACAATGTTCGCGGGAAAAATCGTAGCTTTCTTCATTATTGAATTCATTGTGCACTCTTTGACAACAGTTTATCGATTACAAAGATCCGGTCTTTTTATAAGATCCGGTTACAACGAAATCAACAAAAAATGAAAAGATTACAACTTTCCATATTTGTCGAACGAATCGCGAGCTCCTGCTTTGCGGTCACTCGCTTGCGTGGGTTCTTCGCCTGTGCCGGGGTTTATCCGTGGACCACCGCGCGATCTAGATCCGGTCGGATCTACGCAGTATGACGGGTATTATTTCGCAAAGAAAATAATAGCCAGGGGGATTAATTCACCAAGGAAATAATCACCCTAATTCTCGGGATCAAAGACCAAGCTTTGATCCGGAGAATGACTACGTAGATCTGAGATCCAGTTCCTCTCGAACTCTTGCCTTATTTAGCGTTGACGATCGCCGAGCACCGGATCTGGATGAGCAAGTCCTCCAAGTCCCAAAGCTTCAATCTTTTTTAGTTCTGAGCCTTGAATCCAGCAGAGCTTCGCCTCCAAATTTTCCAACCTTTGAAAATGAACCAAGGGGGGCCTATTTATAGGCAACCCTTACTGTGCCTTGGGCACAAGGTGGCCGGCCACCTTGGTGGCTCGGCCCCCGAGCCACCTAGAGGTGGCTCGGATTTGGCCGAGCCACCTAGAGGTGGCTCGGTTTTGGCCGAGTCCCCTTTCCGTCGTTTTCCGTCTTTCGGTTCTGTTCGTGATTCGATTGTGTGGTTGACTTGTTCGGACTCGAATCTGATTCCTGATTTGGCAGTAAATCCACTTCTGAGTTCGAGTCCGAAACTGATCTTGATTCGATCGTGATTCGTCCGAGTCCGCCCTTGGTTGGATGACTCGTTGACTCTTCAAACTGTTAGCTTGATTCCGCACGCGAGTGGATTTATTCCGTTGTTTGCGTGCGGTTCGTTAGCCTCGTAGCCTCGTTAATCCGTTTCGTCGCGTATCACTTGGCTTCGGTGTTGTGGACTAACAATCGTGTCTGCATACGTCGCCCGATGGTCGGTTCGTCGAATCGGCGTCGTCGAGTTGTGTTAAGGGACCTATAGGCAGTTTTATACGCCTACATACAACAGCCCACTTGGAGGTACGTGCAGAAAACCAGGAGCCCGTTAAGGTTTCACCCTCACAAGGGTGTGATTCCAAACGTGTGACTCCTGTAGATGCCAACAAGGCAATGTTTACTCAGAGGAAAACGCGTCAGACAGACGAACGCGTTATACCTGAGAATCCATGTAAGCAGCCGATAGGTTACTCCGACCGCAACGTCGATGAGTTGTACTATCAGGCTGGGGGTACGAATAAATCTCGAAAGAGAAGTACCCGGGAAGCGGACTCTTACTGTCCGTGTATCAAAATTATCAGGACAGTATTATCAGCGTGTAGCTGTCCCAAGACCGCTCCACAGAGGGGTGCTCGTATCGAGAGGATCTTCGATGGAACGACGAAGCCCAGCCATCAAGCGTTTCCAGCCAAAGAAGAACCGCGGATGCATGTCCTTACCAAGAAGAATGGGATCGTCGCCCGTATAGCCGGCGAAGTTTCAACCTGATCAACTTCACGGCCGTTCGACGGGAAGGGTCGCCCACTTAGCATCTGATGCTATTTCAAGTCCCACTTGGGGGTGATCTGCTGGCAACGAGCCTTTGATGGTTCGGTCAATTCCGTTGGCACGCCTTGGCGGGCACTTGCCTTTCGATTGGTAACCGCGTCTCAAGCCGCGGAACAGCATTAACAGCTGGAGGTACCTGGAAGCATGTTTCCTCGCTCCATTTCTTTCGAATGATGACGCGAAGTGTCGATCCAGGACACTCCTTCGATAGAAACAAAAGGAGCGGAGAGTCGGTGGATACCTTCATTCAAACGCTTCCCGCAATCCAGGCCACGAAACTGTACAGGATCCCGTCCGGAGGAAGTTCGTCTTGCAGACCTGTCATAATAACTTGTCGCATTAACATCTTTGAACGTTATGGGAGTAGAGCGCGTCAATAACCTGGACGAGAGTTGAAGGTACGACGGCAGAACGGCCGACAGCTTCCTCAGAAGGAGGAAGGTCGAAAGAACAACCGATGTTAACCTAGCCCTGAATTCGGTCTCGTGTCCCATGATAAGGGAGGCACTACAACAGTTGTTGACGTTAATCAGACGTCGCAACAGCAGTCCCGAAGACAGCAGAATAGTTCGGATCCGAGGCTCCAAAAAGAGTACTCATTCAAGGACGAAGATGTTCCAGCCATCTTCGAATCCCTCCTTGAAAATAACAAGATCAAGCTACCACTTATCGCAGATCAGGAGGAAGCTGATAATACTATGGATCTGAAGTACTGTGTGTACCACAGGAGGATCTTTCATCCTACCAAGGCTTTCTTCGCTCTCAAGAATAGCATCCAAACCTTGGTTGAAGCCGGCGTCATAACGCTAGGATAAGCCAAATAAGAACGGCAACACTCCGAAGAGTATACGAGTATAAACTGCTTCTCAGGACTCTGATAAGTATAAGAGTATAAACTGCTCCTTCCTACACTCCGAAGAGTATACGAGTATAAACTGCTTCTTAGGACTCCGATAAGTATAAGAGTATAAACTGCTCCTTCCTATACTCCGAAGAGTATACGAGTATAAACTGCTTCTCAATCCTCCAATCGGTATATGAGGTTAAACTGCTCCCTGATACTCCAATAGGTATATGAGTCTAAACTATTCCCACTCATGACGGGAAGTTCCTAGAGAATTTTTACATGTAATATTCTTAAGGATAACCCGATCATGCAACTGAATACAATGGTAAACCCAGCTTCACAAAGGCGCTATATGTAATTTTCTTAGGGATAACCCGATAATTACAAACAAAGTGATAAACACTAAACCCTCACTGTGGTTTGTATGAGTCAACACTCCCGTTGTGATTTGTACTCCCCATCTCACTGTCTACCTGGTCAAACCTTCCTATAGTTAGGGCCATAACCAAAGTCCCCTCTCGATTCCTTCCATGAACGAGAGGTCCACTTCCAAATTGACGATCAAGCCTATGAAAGATGAGATCGTCTCAAACCCCACACTCCCACTGTGGTCGCTAGTTTGTTTGCGGTGAAAGTTGATTTCTTCATTGCTATCGAATCTATTACAACTTTAGTCATTACAATAAACTCGAATAAAATAAAATGTTGATCTTTTTATAAGATCTCCTTACACAATGAAAATAAAAAGTTTACAATTTTATCAAACAAACGCAGAGATCATTTATCGGTCTTCTGCTTGCGTGGGATCTTTGCCTATGCTGGGGTTTATCCGTGGACCACCGTCGATCAGATCTGATTGCTGAAAAATTAGGCAGAGCTTCGTCTATCCGCAAAGAGATCGAGAAACCGTAGCTCTTATCTCGGCGAAGTGAGATAATTGCTCTTCTTAGAATTACCACAACAGGATAATCCTAAGGAACGGATCCGAAAAACTGTAGATCTGACGAGTCTCTTTCTCTTTTACGTTAAAGAACTCGATCCGATCTATCCTCCTAGCGGTGAATGTTGTTGTTTTCATTGCTATCGAATCTATTACAACTTTAATCGTTACAATAAACTCGAATGAAATAAAAAGTTGATCTTTTTATAAGATCTCCTTACACAATGAAAATAAAAAGTTTACAACTTTATCAAACAAACGCAGAGATCGTTTATCGGTCTTCTGCTTGCGTGGGATCTTTGCCTGTGCCGGGGTTTATCCGTGGTCCACCGTCGATCAGATCTGATTGCTGAAAAATTGGGCAGAGCTTCATCTATCCGCGAAGAGATCGAGAAGCAGAAGCGCCTATCTCGACAACAGTGAGATAATTGCTCTTCTTAGAATTACCACAACGGGATAATCCTAAGGAACGGATCCGGGAAACTGTAGATCTGACGAGTCTCTCTCTCGTTTACGTTGAAGAACTCGATCCGATCTCTCCTCCTCCTCTCTGAAATGCGTGCACCTTTAGTCTTCAATCCGGTAGGGCTTCGCCTAATCTCCAAAATTCCAGATCTCCCCATCTTCTTATGCATATATCCAACACTTAAATTGTTCTGCAGATGTCGTAATAGAGAAGCCAGTTGAGGATGAGGCCTTTCATGATGTAGGTTTCGAGGAACAGGGGTGTGCCTCCGCACCAAGTTTCTCGGGACCCGACATTGGATTATTTGTCGACATGCTGGCTGAACAGGCCACCAGAGGAACTGTGGGACCACCCTTTGAGAGTGATTCATTCATAGGTATATATCTGATTCCCTTCATTTTGCCTGATCTTTTGTCTGACTAACGAAGGATTAATATTACAGCACCAGTCATTGGGACTGATACAGTAATGATCCCCGGCATATCTAGTTTACCTCGGAGTAACGGACTTGCAGGTATGCATACGATCTAGGACGTCATGTTCCTTTTCATTTGTCTGATTTTTTGACTAATAGATGGGTGTAATCATAGGACCAGCCATCGGGACCGATACTCTTATGACTCCTGGCATTCCCCGTGTACCTGAGGACGATGGACTTGCAGGTATGCAGATGATCTTATCATCCCGATTCTCCTTATTTGTCTAAATTTCCATTTTGACTAATAAAGAAGTGTGACTATAGGACCAGCCGTTGTGCCTGATGCCACTACAGTTTCTAGGACGGATAGTTTGCCTACAGGGGTTGATATACCCTCCATGACTACTCCTGCCATTATCTCGGAGCCTGTCAGACCTCAGCCCGAGGGGACCTCCGTTGGCGTTGGTATGCTCGGAATTTGTCTTTAAATTTTCTTATCGTATTCCATGATCTCTTAGCTTTCCATACTGTTGCTTGTAGGATTTTGATCATCTCTATATGAGCGTGTCCGCGCCCTTTTGGTCGATACCGATCCCGACAAAGACATTTTTCGTACAGACCTCGGCTTTTTTACCGCCTTTTTTAACGGCATGATCGAGAAACTTCTTCATCGAGGATATTGTTTCGATCAGTTCAGGCGTTCCTTTTCTCGCTACATGATGATGATCAGAGAAGAAGGGTATCCAGAGTTGGCCGATTCCTTAACCGCCGATTTTACTGTTCTGGAGTCGGAGATCCGAGAGTTGAAGGAATTGAAGGCTAATGGGGCTTCTTCCTTCGTGTCCTCTCAAATAGAGCATAGGCGACCACAGTGGGAGCCAACAGCTAATAGATTCGAGTTTATTGTGGTCGCCAGTTTGTTTACGGTGAAAGTTGTTGTTTTCATTGCTATCGAATCTATTACAACTTTAATCGTTACAATAAACTCGAATGAAATAAAAAGTTGATCTTTTTATAAGATCTCCTTACACAATGAAAATAAAAAGTTTACAACTTTATCAAACAAACGCAGAGATCGTTTATCGGTCTTCTGCTTGCGTGGGATCTTTGCCTGTGCCGGGGTTTATCCGTGGACCACCGTCGATCAGATCTGATTGCTAAAAAATTGGGCAGAGCTTCGTCTATCCGCGAAGAGATCGAGAAGCAGAAGCGCCTATCTCGACAACAGCGAGATAATTATTCTTCTTACAATTACCACAACGGGATAATCCTAAGGAACGGATCCGGAAAACTGTAGATCTGACGAGTCTCTCTCTCGTTTACGTTGAAGAACTCGATCCGATCTCTCCTCCTCCTCTCTGAAATTCGTGCACCTTCAGTCTTCAATCCGGCAGGGCTTCGCCTAATCTCCAAAATTCCAGATCTCCCCCCTAAAAAATGAGGCTCCAGGGCTTCTATTTATAGGCACGGGACAAAAACAGCTTGGAGACACCCTTGGGTGTCTCATCCTGGGCCGAGACACCTTAGGTGTCTCAGTTTGCCCTGAGACATTTCCGATGCCCGTTTTGATTGTTTCCGCCATAAATTCTTCGTTCGAACTCGGATTTGAGTGATTCCAAGTGCGTTGGAAAGCCAACGAGGAGTTATATAAGCTCCAATGATTAGATTATCTATGGAATCAACTGGGACACGAGGGGTGTAGCACCTTTTGTAGGCGACGCGGGGCTCTCGATCGATTCGTATCCTCGTTATTCTAGAACTCCAATGCTTTACGTAGTTCATCGATTCACTTCAAGCGTTTGTCGACGTCAATCAAGCTTCTATAAACTGGATAGTGACGTTCATCGTCTTTTCTTAACACTGAGCCGTTCGTGGAGACCTATAGGCAATTTTCGATGCCTACAGCAATGAACGCAATTTTTCACGAATATATGTGTAAGAAGATTGAATGCTACGATGACGACATAGCAGTGAAAAGCCAACATAATGGTGATCATCTCACAGACCTGAAGACAATGTTCGACATTATGCGAACACATCAGTTGAAGATGAACCCGACAAAATCATTCCTTAGGGTATCGAGTGGAAAATTTTTGGGATTTATCGTCACATCCAAGGGAATTTCTCTTGATCCAGAGAAAGTTCGTGCTATCCAAGACATGCCGCCTCCGAAGAATCTTAAAGAACTCAGAGATTTGCAAGGCAGATTAGCTTACATCCGAAGATTCATATCTAATCTCTCAGGACGATGCCAACCTTTTTCCAAGCTCATGAAGAAGGGAGTATCATTCATTTGGGATGGAGATTGCCAAAGAGCATTTGAGGAAATTAAGAGATATCTCACCCAACCGCCGGTTCTTGTGGCCCCAATATCAGGAAAACCATTCTTGTTATATGTGAGAGCCATGAACCATTCTCTTAGAGCTTTATTAGCCCAGAACAATGACCAAGGACAGGAGTAGGCAATTTACTACCTAAGTAGGACCATGATGGGAGCCAAACACCGGTATAATCCGGTTGAAAAAGAATGTCTCGCTTTGGTATTCACCATCCAAAAGATGTGACACTACCTGGTTAGACAAACAATCCATGTCATCTCTAAGGTAAATCCTTTGAGAGTCCTGATAACGAAACCGTCGTCCTTGAATTGCCGGCTAGCAAAATGGGCAATCCTTCTTTCACAATACGACATGCAATTTATGCCCCAGAAGTCTATTAAAGGCCAAGTATTGGCAGACTTCTTAGCCGATCACCCGATGCCAGGAACGTCTAAGTTGTATGAAGAGTTGCCCGACGATGTTGCTGAAGCTTGCGTAACTCGAGAGGTTAAGCAGGTGTGGAAATTATTCTTTGATGGGGCATCTAGAGGAAACCCCCATGGAGCAATTACCGTCGGAGTAGGAGTCGTATTCATTTCTCCAAACGGTCACGTGATCCCAAGAGGATTTTCCCTGATCGAGCCCTGCACCAATAATGTAGCTGAGTATAATGCTCTGCTATTAGGAATGCAATTTGCAGAAAAGCTTAACATTCGACATCTCAAGGCTTACGGTGACTCTCAGCTCTTTGTAAATCAGGTCCGAGGGGAATATGAGGTGCGTCATGAGGATCTGATCCCGTACTACCTCGTTGTGCTAAAGCAAGCAAAGAAGTTCGAAGATTTCTTCATTGGATATATTCCACGAGCTCAGAATGCTTATGCAGATGCTTTAGCCTCGTTGGCAACTTCATTAGCATTGCCACCTAGGGCTGAAACAATGATTCCGTTCACGGGATGCGAGCTATACTGTTCCAAGCTTCCTATAGAGGAAAGTTCAGACAAGACACCAGTAGGAGAAGTCTGCACAACCTTCATGGAGCTTGAATCCAGGGATTGGCCTTTCCCGTATATTGATTATGTCTTATACGGGATTTTGCCCGATAATTATAAGGAAGCAACCGCTATCAAACGAAAGACCCTCCAATTCTATTACGACACAGTTTCCCAAATATTATATCGTAAATCACATGATGGAGTTTTGTTTCGATGCCTTTCTCGAAAGGAAGCAAAGGGGGCTCTCAAGGAGGCTCACGATGGAATGTGCGGAGCCCATCAACCTGGGGCTAAGTTGGGAGATCGCCTCCGATGAATCGGCTATTATTGGCCAAAAATATTCTCAGACGTAGTTGATTACACTAAACGTTGTTACACATGTCAAATTCATGATGACTTTATCCATCAAGCGCCAGGGAACTTACATCCCACATCTGCGTCTTGGCCATTCGAAATGTGAGATATGGATGTTGTGGGACCAATCTCTCCTCTGACTTCCAAAGGACACCAGTTCATTTTGGTTGTAACAAATTACTTCTCCAAATGGGTGGAGGCAATCCCGCTAAAAGAAGTCAATACTTCGAATGTGATTAAATTCATCAAACATCACGTCATCTACCGTTTTGGAGTCCCGAGACGAATAGTTCACGACAACGGGACACAATTCGTCAGCTTTGGATTTTAGAGATTTTGTAATAAATTTAGAATCCAAAGCGTTACCTCTACGACATATTATCCGCCAGAAAATGGCCTTGCAGAAGCTTTTAACAAGACCATTGTGAAGCTTCTTAAAAAGTTTATTTCAAAGAGCCAATGTGATTGGGACGAAAGACTCGGTGAATGTCTCTGGGCCTACCACACAATGGTGAGGACCCTCACAAAAGCTACACTATTCTCTTTGGTATACGGCTGCGAAGCTGTGCTACCGTTAGAAATTCAGATCCCTTCCCTGAGAGTCACTATCACAATAGGAATGACAGAGGAAGAGAAACATCAACTGCGCCTTCAGGAACTTGAAGCCTTAGACGACAAGCGACTTCAACCTCAGCAACAGATCGAGTTGTATCAAGCCCGAATTTCTAAAGCCTACAACAAAAAGGTTAAAGAACGAATTTTCAAGAAAGGCGATTTGGTCTTATCCGTCAGACGACCCATGGTGATGACACACAAAACCAAAGGAAAGTTCAATCCCAAATGGGAAGGACCATTCGTAATAGAATTAGTTTATTCGAATGGAGTTTACCGCCTCATCGATCAAAAATGTGATAGGCTCATGATGCCAATTAACGAGAAGTTCCTTAAAATATACTTCTTGTAAGTCATGTAGCCCCTCCTTTCTCTCTCAAACTCCAGTCAAGTCAGGCTGGGGGTTGCCAATTCAGAGTGTATTGTGGGAATAAATGTTTAATTTCCCTGTTTTGTATGTCGTCATGTTAACACTACACCTCTGACGGTTGAAATTTTCTAGAATTATTCTAAGTGGTAATAAAGAGAATTTCGAGTTCATGCTAAGTTAACACTATGTTTACGGTATTTGTATTACTTTTCATCGTCTCGAATTAGAATTCAACAAGAGAGATGATGAAAGACAAAATAATATCATTTTCATTCAATATTGTTAATTTGATACAAAGTGACGATAATCGAAATGAAAATGATACAAAATTATTCCCCATCTAAAAACAGTATAAAAATTAAGCATCAGGATTCATCAGCTTAAAGAACTTTAGCCTGGACTTGAATATAGAAAGTTTCTCTTCGTGAGTGGCCCGGACTCGTTCTTCAAACTCCTTTTTGAGTTCTGCTTCAGCAGGGGCTGTAGCAGCAATCTCTCTTCGAATTCCTTCAGATGCGTGGAGTGTGCTGTAAAAATCCTTAAAAATATTGTCGCTTTGAAGCTGAAGCCCTTTTCTAACATCCGCATATTGAGCCAACTGGGCTTTCTTCTGGGCCAACTCGGCCTCTAATCGATCGATGGCTTCTTCAGTGACACGAATATCAGAAACAACACTATTTATATCAGTATATACCTGAGTATGCTGCTCCTTTAAGATCGTTATGCAAGCCTTTTTTATCAGATAAATCCTTGTGAAGGACCTCTTGATGATGTATCTTCGAGATTGCAGCCAAGGAGAGAGCCTGCTCCAGATTCCAGATTGGTGCACTTGAAAGCTGCCAACTCTGCTTCCAAGAGGATGACACTCTTCTTACAATGTTCGGTCCACGACACATCAC